TGACATACACCAAAGAGGCTTAGTAATTTCTATCACACTTTTGACATACACCAAAGAGGCTTAGTAATTTCTATCACACTTTTGACATACACCAAAGAGGCTTAGTAATTTCTATCACACTTTTGACATACACCAAAGAGGCTTAGTAATTTCTATCACACTTTTGACATACACCAAAGAGGCTTAGTAATTTCTATCACACTTTTGACATACACCAAAGAGGCTTTCTAATTTCTATGACACTTTGGAGGTTTTAGTTTGAAACCCTTTCGTAGTTCTGATTAGATTTGCTTTTGTGGACAGAGGTGTTCTTATATGTGTCAAAAGTGGGGCTATCCAGAGCAGCACTGGTTTTGGGTGGGGGGGGGGGGGGGGGGGGGGGGTGGGGGGGGGGGGGGGGGGGGGGGGGGGGGGGGGGAGTTGCGGAACAGAGGGCCTGGACCGCTACATTAGCAGGCTAGTACACTAACAACTAGGCCAGTGCAGCTTGTAAAAGGAAAATAGAAAATGAAAATGTCTGTTTTACAGTGATCTGATTTTCACATAACTTAGTGTATGTTGTGGTTCTGAAGCTATCATCAGCAAACAAAAACAAGTAGAAGCAGGTTTCTTTTCAGAATCACTGGTGACAATGGCTTTGGACAAAAGAGCACATTAGGGAGAATGTTAAACTTATCCTGTTACCAGGAAATGCAATCTGAAAGCTAAATGTCATGGCAAGGCAGACATCGCAGGGCAGACATTGCAGGGCAGACATCACAGGGCAGACATTACAGGGCAGACAAACATGGTGACGCAAGAATGACAGTGAAATGATGGCCACTCCATTTTTGACATGCATCAAAGATGGCGTGGTTATTGTAATTTAAATCAAACTTTTAAGGTTTTCGCTCACTGACACACACATAGACAAAAAAGGAAAAGAATGTCACCTCTCTCATTTCCTTGGTTGGCAGTTGGTCTAGGACATAAAGAGAGCACTGATCTTCTGATCTGGCGGCTTCTGCAGAACACTCTGTATTAAATATACTGTTGTCACCGTTTCTTTGGTGTTAAGGGGCGGAGTGGTCTCAAGGCGGGGTGTCCACCTTGAGTGCTAGATAATCCGGGTTCAATCCCCAGGAAGGGCTAGATTTTTTTCACTTGGACTTGGACTTCTATTTTTGTTCCCCCTGGTCTCTGGGTAGTGAGATCGGATGCCTGTGTGCATTGCTGCGCACGTAAAAAATCCCTTGGCCGTTGGAAATCGAAAAGAGTAGCCTAACGGCGCTGCCCGGACACAAATTTGGAGTTAAAAATCTACAGAAACTATTTTAGGATCCTAGCCTGTGCACTGTGCTGAGCTTCTTCAGACTCAGACCTGAGTTAGAAGAAGAACGGAGCATCTATGGATTATTATCTGTATGCCATGATGTTGATCCGTTGTTCAAACCTCAAAACCTTTGGAATTAGGAAAGCAGGTGAAGAGAGGGATCACAGTACATGGGCAAACACATGGTCTCTACAATACCGCCTATGCTTTGTGTTTTATGAAGAGGAGGAATTTCATCCTTGGCCTTAAGTGGTATTGCCATGGACTGTGATTCCCAAGTCTACCTACAGCACAATCAAACACTATCATCTGAAACATTCAGAGGTGTCAACAATATCTGGAAAAGCTAGGCATTTTACCCACTAATCAATGATGAGGGAGAAATGTATAACTTTAAGTTTTCTAGCTTAATTATCCCAGTGAGGGCTCCGGGGCCCTATTGTGAGGAAAGCAAGAATAAACCCACTGCCTCCTCCACAAGCATGTCCTAGGAGTCCACTAAGTGGGGTCTTCCTTTGAAGTGCATCTGGCTGAGCGACAAGGTATAAATGATGTTCAACCCCACCAGGACCCCACAAGCGACAAAGTGCCACCATTCGGATAAGAACCACCCAGGTACAAGTCCCAGAAACCCCATTCAACCTTTAGATTACATTAGACTATAACCCCCCCCCCCCCCCCCCCCCCCCCCCCCCCCCCAAATAACAACAACAAAAACAAAAATAACTGTGTCCCATATATGGGCAAGGTTTTTCATAACAGCAAGGAACAACCAACTACACACAATTGAGCCAGCAAAACAGATGTTCATGCAAATGTCAGGCCCTGGCACAAAGCCAAACTTCAAATGGACTAAAACTAGGACTTTCCACCACAGATTACATAAAGTGAACAAACAAAAAAAGAAGAAGATAATTACATTTATAACACTTTCCTGCTTTCACTACATTTGAGTCTTTATTTCTATATTAGTAATACGGAAGCGCAAACTGTCATTACATAGAATTTCATCTGTCATGCTTCAAACTCATCTCCATCATAATACAAACCATCCTTCTCCAAAGAAAACCTTGTTCCAGCCTCATCTGCAGTGGTTCTTAAGCTATGTGAAATACCAGCATCCTTTCTACTGTCTGTAATTTTCCGTAAAATAATCTTGTCCTCTCTTTTAGTACTGCTGACATCACTCGTTCTTCTGAAGCTAGCAGGTGGGTCTATAAATGACTGCCATGGTTGTTCGAATGATTCTTGTTGGCTGTAGACATCCCATCCAGTTTTGGGATTATCGCCAGGTTGGCTTGTTCTCATTTTCTGGTTTACTACCGGGGCTTGTGATGCCGGCTGAAACAGAATTATGTGTACAACTAAGAATTCAGACCTAGCTTGTAACTGTCTTTTTTTTTTTTTAAGTAAGTGGCGTACTCTTTAAAAGATGTTGCTAAACTAACCCCAGCATTTTTTGGGGCTGTTTGGCGCTTCCTAATGCCGGCGTTCTGGGTTTGATCCCAGCTGCAGTCGATTTGGCAGCACACTGTCTTGCTTTGGTTTCAATAATGGTACCAAGAGATGACCATTCAGAAACCAATAGCAGACTATTGAACATATGCACAGAAAAACTGCTACACAAAATTGCTGAGGCTGGTTCTGGAACTTCCTGAAAAGGATACACAGCTAACTTGTGATTTCAGTAGGTCATTTTACATGGTGAATTAAGAATCGACATCACAGCACTCGGGACACTCCCAAAAGCACTCCGACCCCATCTTCAGCAGCAAGCGAAGAGTTAAAATTCCAATGGTACTAGTAACAGTCTAATTGTATATCGGTCTTGCCCCTCCCCCTAGCGTCGAGGGTCGGCCAGATTCCCTTGTAACTCCTTGCAGTGCCATTTTCCTCAGACCATAATGATCTATCTGTTCTTCGGCATTGTTCACTTGCTCCCAAAGGGCCCTCACAACATCCAGCTTGTCATATATCAGTTCACTATCAAGTGGTGCAGAACCAGCCAGTCTATCCATCTGCAAATTTCCCAACACACCTGCATGACCTGGATAAAATGTCTAAAGGATGCTAACTAACCGCGACCTCTGAAGTGATGCCTGCCACTCTGCATGGAGCATGCCTGTCTCCACCTTTCTCAACGTGCTCTGTGAGTCAGTTACAATGACGACAAGTGTGTACAGCTGATTCTCAAGCCAACGGAAGGCAGCAGTGACTGCCTCCACCTCCATTCTCAAACTAGACGTTCTGATATCATATGCCAGGTTTTGTTGCGCCAAGCGACGTCCATTCGCCTTCGCTATGAACCCCCATGCACTTCGTCTGCCTCTCACCACAGAGCCATCTGTATATACAATCACGTCACTTGGGCGGGAGGTCCCCATGTGGGTTCCGGGGCCCCATCATGGGGAAAACAAGAATAGACCCTCTGCCTACCCAAAAGCATGTCGTAAGAGTCGACTAATTGGGGACCTTCCTTTGAAGTCGGAGGGCATCTGCCTGAGAGGCAAGGAACCAACAGTCTGGTTCAAGTGAATCAGATCTGTAAAACTGATGCACACTCAACACTCAGGTTCTGGAGCAGGACTGCAGTTCAGAAGTGGACGAACAACCAGAACTTTCCGCCAGAGTGTACAGCTGGTGAACGCGAAGAAGAAGAAGAACTTGGGCGGAAATTGTCATGAATCATTTGTTGAACTTCTGATTCTGCAACACCAGCTGGCTAGTCCCTGCACTCACGTCCCAAAGTGATTAGAACCCTACACAAGTCTGAAACATGATCGGACACTTTGACCCACTCCTCTCCTCGCCTAAATTTATCAAGCCTGTACACATGTCTAATTGTGTCTTCAGCTTGCGCCATCAAAGACTTTCCTCTTTTACATTCAGTAGTTTATCACTGCTTTCTGAATGGTTGGCTCCTGGCATCATTGTTGAAACCAATGCAAGGCAGTCTGCTGCCAAATAGTTTGCAGGTGGGATCAAATCTAGCACCTAAGAAATCTGAAGCTCTTTCACAAAGCCTAAGCCACAGACGTCGACTGCCTTTACTACGTGTGTTACTCACTTTCAAGAGTGATGTATGGCAGCATCTGTATCGACTGAGAAGAGAAAGAGAACTCAAGAGCTATATAAATCCTATCCTGATATGTGGAAGTGAATAAGTTGGATGATTAATGAAGAAAAGTTTATTTAGAAGCAGTGGAGATGTGGTTTTATAGATGAACAATGAGGACACCCTGCACAGATAAAGAATAATAATGATGTCCTAAAAAAAATGACTAGAGAAACGATAGCCTCACATCAGAATGAGACAATCTATATTTTTTGGTCATGTCATAAGAAAGAGAAAATTGGAGTACATAGTGACGGTGGGAAAGCTGGTGGGGAAAGAAGCAGAGGAAGACCAAGAGAGAAGATGCTCGACAGTTCGACATCATGGTTTGGAAAAACATCTGTGTCAGAACTGACTGAAAGTATACAAGAAAGACAGAAGGTTATGAAAAGACATAACCATGATTCCCAGATTCTGGGCTGTTTTTCCCAAGGGTTTCCAGACAAAAAGATTTAGAGACAGAATTTGACTGACCCCAGAGAAGACCCCAGTTTGTGACCTGTGTCAGATTGGAAGCACACAAACACTGACGGTGAAGAAGGAAACAGGCGACCTATGATCATCCTGACTTACATGTACTAAGTTATGACTCTTCAACAGTTTATTCAAATGTTGCTTCTCTTCTGTGATAGCCTGCAGCTGGCTCTGCAACCGAGAGTTCTCGTCTTCTAAGTAGGTCACTTTTGCTTGAGCCATGGATAAAGTCCGTGCCTGGTCTCTCAAAGCCTCCTCCACCTCCGACAGTCTGAAATGTGTTACGTGGGTGGCTGAAATAGAAAAAAAAAAGCCGTCAGAAAACAACTTAAAAGTAGATTTTGCCCAAAACAGAAGTTGATGCCCAAGTGAGTCAAAACCGTGAAGTCAACATAATAATTGGTATACTACATACGCAGCGTACAAACACATATTTCTTGTGGCAGACAAATGTGATGTTGAATGTTCTGGCAACGCTCTGACTAAACATAAAATGTATAGGCATAATAATATGTTAGCTGCACGGCCAGCTACAGCTCAAAAGGGAATTCCCGTTTTTGTGAGGCTGGCGTGGCCGGCTGGTGGTAACAACGGTTATTGAGTAGATTTATACACAAATTGAAGTACAGTTAAATTAACTTCCAACATGTATTATTGAATGATTTATTATTTTGAAGATAAATAAATGGGCTTTTAGAAAATATTTATCTTCAAAATAGTAATTCATTCAAGAACACATGTCGCAAATTAATTACACTGTACTTCAATTTGTGTATAAATCTATTTGATAACAATTGTTACCACCGACCGGCCTCGCCAGCCTCACAAAAACGGGAGTTCTCATTTGAGCTGTATGGCCTTATATATGGAGCTGGCCGTGGTTAGCCGGATCACATGAGTGAATCCAGTCATGCATGGTGTATTGTCTGGGACTGAAAGAGTTAACAGACCCTTTTTATGCCTTGAGCTGGGATGCAGAGGTGGTTGAGACCACGTGCTGGTGCTCGGGGACCAGGGCTCCTGCTGGTCACGACCTATCCACACATATTCACAGACATCCTAGAAACAATTTCCCTGTCGTGAAAGAAAGAAGGGGAAGGGCTGGCCCATGCAGATAGAATCAATGTTTCCTTCAATGTCAAAGTCTGAGAGCCAGGAGCCAGCAGTCTGCATACGAATACTCCAGATCTGTCAAATGGATGTTGGCCTATGAGCTAAACTCAAGTTCGAGGATGAGACTTATGGAGTGGACAAAGAGGCAGACATTCTGCCAGAGTTTTATAGCTGGTGAATGCAAAAACTTAGGACTACATTTCTGAGACCAGTCAGAATCAATGGGTGATGTGGTCAACATCAGACCAGTCGCCTTTACTTCCCATGACATTTCGTGGTACCCATTTAAAATGGGTTGGCCTCTGAGCCAAGGTCAATAAAAAAAATTAAAGTAATAATTTAAAAAAACTGCCTTGAAGCAAATTGAACCTTTGACATTTAGGTTGGCAGGTGGGCATCTAACCACTATGCTAGTGTGGCTCTTTTTTGAAATATAATGTCAAACATAAGTACACTGATATATATATATATTGTCATATGACTTTATATTGAAGTTCATTGTCAAACTATAGTTTACTGACATATAACTGTATATAGAAATACACTGCCAAACAATAGTTTACTGAAACATACTGATATATGTCTTTAAGCACATAGAGGAGGATGTCTCTAAGCACACAGAAGGATGTCTCTAAGCACACAGAAGGATGTCTCTAAGCACACAGAAGGATGTCTCTATGCACACAGAGGAGGATGTCTCTAAGCACATAGAGGAGGATGTCTCTAGGCACTCAGAGGAGGATGTCTCTAAGCACATAGAGGAGGATGTCTCTAGGCACATAGAGGAGGATGCCTCTAAGCACATAGAGAAGGATGTCTCTAAGCACATAGAGGAGGATGTCTCTAAGCACTCAGAGGAGGATGTCTCTAAGCACATAGAGGAGGATGTCTCTAAGCACTCAGAGAAGGATGTCTCTAAGCACATAGAGGAGGATGTCTCTAAGCACTCAGAGTAGGATGTCTCTAAGCACATAGAGGAGGATGTCTCTAAGCACTCAGAGGAGGATGTCTCTAAGCACATAGAGGAGGATGTCTCTAAGCACTCAGAGAAGGATGTCTCTAAGCACATAGAGGAGGATGTCTCTAAGCACTCAGAGGAGGATGTCTCTAGGCACATAGAGGAGGATGTCTCTAAGCACTCAGAGGAGGATGTCTCTAAGCACTCAGAGGAGGATGTCTCTAATCACTCAGAGGAGAATGTCTCTAAGCACTCAGAGGAGGATGTCTCTAAGCACATAGAATAGGATGTCTCTAAGCACACAGAGGAGGATGTCTCTAAGCACATAGAGGAGGATGTCTCTAGGCAATTAGAGGAGGATGCCTCTGAGCACATAGAGGAGGATGTCTCTAAGTACACAGAGGAGGATGCCTCTAAGCACATAGAGGATGATGTCTCTAAGCACTCAGAGGAGGATGTCTCTAAGCACATAGAGGAGGATGTCTCTAGGCACATAGAGGAGGATACCTCTAAGCACATAGAGGAGGATGTCTCTAAGCACATAGAGGAGGATGCCTCTAAGCACAATATCCCAGAACCCTAAAGGCATGTCCGGAGTATACAAATGATGACAGCTGACCTGAGATCAGTTAAGAACTGACATCACAGCACTCAGGACATTCCCAAAAGTCCTCTGTCCTCATCTTCAGCAGCCAGCAAACAGTTCTTATTCTGATACTGATCGTTAACCCTTTCTTTGCTAGGAAACTGTTACTGTAATACTCTCCCTAACAATGACTATGAACCTAAAGAAATAATCACTTTCTAATACTGAGTTAATACACCAATGAAACAGACTGATATCAGTAACAACCGGAATAAGATGAGTCAACATAACAGTAGAACGGGACAGAAAAGTTAAAAAAATTATACAAGGTATAGAATAATTAATAAATGTATTCTGAGTTTCTTGGTAGTGAGAGAATTTAACAGGGTTAGAATGAAATATAATTTTTAGGTTGAAAGACAAAATGATGATCACAATGGGATTCTAGCAAGACTACAAGCAAAAACGCATAGTAACGAATGAGAATCTAAGAAATGAACTATTTCATTCCTAAATAACATATTGCGTGTCGTAGGTTCCTTCTTTGTGAAACAGCCAATGAATAATATGCTTCTCTAACATTTTAAATTTAGTCAAAGCATACTAAAGAAATCTGGCCACTCAAGTGACCTCATTTCATGTGTTTAGATCCAGTTTAGGATTCATAATTGTTGCCACTTTGGCATGTGCTGCCAAATCCTCTGGTGCTGAAAAATGTTAATAGATTAAAACTAGATACAGTGAAATGTAAAAGTGTATACAACACACAAGACTTGCTTAAAGAAAATAAATATGCAGACTTTACAAGCAGCAAATCGGGACTAGAATATCAATCAACTATCAATCATTTAATGTTAAAGAAAAGATTGTTATAGTTTTCAAAAGTGAGGAAAAAAAATTGTTATGCTGAAGGACAAAATGTTGATTACAGTGAGAGACTAGCATGACTACGAGAAAAATAATAATAGTAATGAATAAATGAGAAGTTTAGATATTAACAGATTAAAACTAGATACAGCCAAATTTGTACGTGTACACAAGTGTTTACACATGCTGGCCTGGACAGATCAGTGATGGAGGGTGTAGTTACGGAAAATGAGACGAGAGGTAGACTTCCGTGAAGGTGAATACAAGAAAATGAGGGATGCTTTGGCTATGAAAGCACACAGAACAAGAGACTTTTAGACCTGTACGTTCTGTAACATCTGTGGCTTAGGCGTTGTGAAAGCGCTTCGTAATGCCGGGGTACCAGGTTTGATCCCAGCTGAGGGGCCTTGCCTGGTTTCGACAGTGGTATTGAGAAGCCGACCGTCCAGAAAGCCATGGCAAACTACTGGTCGTAAATCTGCCTAGAAAAACCACATCAGTCAAAATGCTGGGGTTGGTTTTGCAATGTCCTCTAAAGTACACGCAACTAAAAAAAAAAAAGTATGTAAAGGGCCTCCTGATGATGATGATGATAATATAATACACAAGTGCCATCTAATGAAAAGAAATGTGCAGAAGTGACAAGCTGACAAGCAGTGATATGGGGGCTAGACTACAAAGCATTTTATGTTAAAGAGAAGCTCATACATATAAAGCAACCAGTGTTCTTTCTCTTACCTTTACTAAAAGGTTCTCGAATTGTGAAGGCATGCAGTAGGTGGCATTTACATCAGAAAAAATGTAATATAAATGTGTGTTTATTTCAAACGGCTAGCCACACAAATCAGTAATACATGACTGGTAATGATTGCTTAATTACTTCAGCATTAAAAAATATACATTTGCTTCCAAAACAACAATTCTTTGGGTGTAAACACATTTATACTTGATTTATACTGTGACACCATTGCTAGTTGATGGCTAAACGATAAAGGTGAAGTATGACATCATAATATCTTCTTTAAAAAAAAAATGCCAGCAAAAACCTTTCCCCTATGCTATATTTAGTAAACCTAATAATATCTGGCACTACTAAACACTGCATGGGTGCAAACAGAACTGATACTATTAAATAAGCTTGTTGGACTTGCCAGTGCAGCAATGCATGTTTAACATATTCGTGGGAATGTGTAGTAATGGATGGTGATGTGGCCAGATTAGAGGCATCTTGGGGCCGAACTATCTTATAGTGGCATGTACTGGATATGTGTCATATACTTTAGTATCTGACAACAGCTGTGCTTAAATGTCCTCTCTTCTCGTGTTGTATAAATCACTTATAAGATGTCCTATACTTTCAAATATTAAAAAAGCACTACTTAAACTATTAAAATCAAGTTTCTATAGATCTAATGGCTGCATGAAAGACTTTTGTTCACACTAATTATGTAAAAACGCTATAACAGCTAAGAAATATTTACATTTTTGCTGCTTTATTAATATCCTACCCCAAACAGGGGAAATCCACAGGTCATGGGACAGTCTATTATTTCAGGGGATGGTAGATAGGTTACATGCATTCGTGGGACACAGTCTGCATGCAGTCGTGAGACCTAGGCTGCACTCTCTCATAGGACGTAGGTGGGTTGGGGTTAGGGCCAGTTCTAGATGTTTTGGGGTCGTTAAAAGCATCAGAAAGCCAGGAAACCCAGTCTTACCACCCTCTAAAATGTTGGACTGTCCTGTGATGTCATTTGGGGTAAGATATTAATAAAGAACCCATTTTTATGTTAAACAACACAAATATTATTATACCTGGACACTGGCAAAGAAAGTAGCAGGTCAATAACTACACATTAAAAAAAAATCACTGTAATGAATGAGAATAATAGAAATAAATGGATTAAAACTAGTAACAATCAAATTTATGAGAAATATAAACCAACCTAGTGTGAAGAAATCAATGGAAGGGAAAAATACATTTCTTCTTCACCTGCGCTAACCCTTGAAAGAGCAGTTGGCACATTGTATTGCGGTTTGCAGCTAGGCTGCAACAGTTCTCTGCCTTTTGGTTCAATACATCTGATTCTAGCAAACCCTTTACAAGTTGCCTTCTACAACAATGCTTTTTTTGGGCAGGTGGGTGGGAAGGTTTTTTTTTTTTTTTCAGAAACACATAATAAAGCCCTGGAACCCACAGAGAAAGAACAAGACATTAAGGAAAACATTTCAACTATATTAGAAGACATAACACTTCTAAAACCGGGGGATTTGGCTGATTTTCAACACACGAGAAAGGCGGGATGGATTTACAATCAGACAGATACTGGTGCCATCGGAATTGGAACTCTTTGTTTGCTGGTGAAGATAGGGATGGAGCACTTATGAGACTGTCTTAAGTGCTGTGATGTCAATTCCTAAAATAACAATCAACACTTCTTAAAAAAATTTGGGAGAAAATGAAATAGAAGAGTTTGCAAATGGTAGACAGTGATATAAGTGGGAGAATAACATCAAGAGATAGCAAGCAACGGTCTGAGGCAGCGTATAACTAGGTCAAGAGACAAAGAGAGTGTCAGAGATCCCTGTAGACAGCCTTCAGTGTGGAGGCTGACCCTTATCAACTGACAGAAAAAGCCAGCAAGAGAAAACTGACAACCTTTGTCATGACAGTGTCACTAAAAAAAAAAAACGAATTCTAATCCCCTGCAAGGGAGTTTCTGTGGTAAAGTGATCAAGCTGTCTGCTTTACTCTCTTGGGGTCAGAGCTCATTTCATGGCAGCATTGCTTAGTTCACGAATTTAATTTTTACAGAGATCTCTGGTGACCACCACCAGTGCTATGGAGTTTGCGCTTTGTGCTTTGCTCTCAACAGGCGGCTAGTCATTCTGCTAAGAGAGACTGAGCCACATGGGATCAAACTCAGTGCAATGAAGCTGATCCTCTCACCTTTATCGTCAGATATGGAGAAGCACTGCAGCCTATGCCAGCCAACAAGGCACTTGATGTTGATGTAAAAGTGAGAAAAAAAAAGAACCCAAAAAAAACTTACTGAGTTATCAGACCTCGCTTCTCCCTCAGCAACATCTTGTAACTGTCATCCATCTTCTTTCCCCAGTCTTTTTCCTTGTCCAGGGAAGCATGAGTCAAACGTAAATCCTCCTCCATATTCTTCATATGCTCAAGATATCTGCTGCGTTCGGCAGTGTATAATGTCCTGTAAAGCAATGCAAAAGTTAAAACCCTTTCACCCCGTGAACCCTAAAAAAAAAGCCACAAACCAGATAAAAAAATAAATGTTAACCAACCATGTTACACAGGTCACTAATAAATTATTTACCAAATTTATTAATCTACATTTTTTCAAGAAAAGACAGAATACGAAATCACAAAATCAGACAAATGCTAAGAACAAAGCCAGTCTTTCAAGTAATCAAAGAACAACACATGAAGTGGTTTGGACACCCAACAAACAAAAATGCTGTGGTACTATCTGCCACAGCGAGCCACACTAAAACGTTACAACGGGTATAGAGCGAGTGGAAGACCTCGGAAAAGATGGAGTGATGACATTAAGAACAGCCTTACAGAAATGAACATCAGACTTAATAGTGCTCTTGACAGAGCTCATCAACGAACATTACATCTCTCCCTCACACTTTGCTGAAGGACAAGGTAGAAGAGAAGAAGAACAAGAAGAAGAAGAAGAAGAAGAAGAAGAAGAAGAAGAAGAAGAAGAAGAAGAAGAAGAAGAAGAAGAAGAAGAAGAAGAAGAAGAAGAAGAAGAAGAAGAAGAAGAAGAAGAAGATCCTCAGTTAGTCAACACTTAGGACATGCATCTTGGGGACAGTGGCTCTGTTCTTTTTGTTCTGCACAATGGGGGCCCCGGAACCTACATGGAGAATATACATTTAACTTCTAGAACATAAGTTCTTCTTCTTCTTCACCTTCCCCAGTTGTAAATTCTGGCAGAAAGTTTTGGTTGTTCGTCCACTTCTGGACTGCAGTCCTGTTCCAGAACCTGAGTGTTGCATGTGCATAGATGCGCTCCTACTTCAAAGGAAGCTCCCAATTAGTCGAAATTTACTACATGCTTTTGGGTAAGCAGTGGATATATTCTTGTTTTCCTTGTAATAGGGCCCCGGAACCAACACGGGGACAGAACATAAGTAACAAAAAGTACAAAGTTGACTTAATGAACTGACCTGGCTTTCATGAGCTTTGCCTTTGTTCTCAGCTTACGCTCCTCATATCTCTGCATGTCAGCATCTCTTCTTTCACTCATGCTGGACAGTTCATGCTGCAGGTCCTTGACCTCCTTTTGAAGTCGGCTGATCTGGGCCAACAGTGCATCTTTACTCACATCACAGACGTGATGCTGCTTGGGACCACATGAGAGATTTTATTATAGATGATACAGTTATCAGCATGCTTTGCAAATCAAGTATGTTTCTTGTTCTTCTTCTTGTAGTAGTTCTTCTTCTTGTAGTAGTTCTTCTTCTTATAGTAGTTCTTCTTTTACTAGTTCTACTTCTTCTTTTTCTGCTTCTTCTTCTTCCTCTTCTTCGGCTGCTGCTGCCACCACCACCACTTCCTGCTCCTCTTCTTCTTCTTCTTCTGCTTCTTCTTCTGATTCTTCTTCATGTTCACTGGCTTTAGACGGAAAGATCTTGTTGATTGTCCTAGTCTTGACTTTGGTCCTGTTACTGAAATTAGGTTTCACATGCACATCCGTTTTTACAAATCTATCTTATTTATATTCAGACCGTCGTTCTCTCAATTCTCAGACAGATGCACTCAGACTTCAAAGAAACACCCCTAGTTAGTCAGATTTTATGACATGCATGACTGCCCCCCACCCCCTCCACCGCACAATAGGGCCCAGGAACCCATGCGGGAGACCTCCTTCTTCTTTGATCCCTCTATCAAAATAGTTAATCAAGAGGCCAGTAGCCCTGATGAAAACTATCATACAGTTCTGATCACTGTGTGTACCATACAGCTTTGTTTTGGTTGAGATAGAAACTGGCCAGATGGCCTGTAGTAGCTTAGAGTTTACAGTGTTGGAATTCATGATTAGCATTATCCTGCGTCAAGTTGCTGGGACAAATCTCTGTTTATACCCTGAAAAACTTAAACACATGTTGGTGAAGACTGTTATGCCCTGTCCTTCGTCTGAAACAATACTGTCTGAGATAGTGGTACTCATAACAGACCTTTGAACAGTACTAACTGTTGTAAATGTTGGATTTGGACAATGACAGGGGGAAAAGAGAACAGACAAATCACAGCAAATGAGATCAGATTCCTTAGAACAGGGCTTTTTAATTGGTGGCCTGCGGGCCAGATCTGACCCAAGGAGGCCCAGCAAGTGGCCCGCAGATCATTGCTGGTTGTATTGAATTTAATAGTCTTTATATGCTTGGACTCGGAACTCTGGCCCGTAACGATCCCTAGTTTCATAATTTTGGCCCCTAAGTAAACTAAGTTAAATAGCCCTGCCTTAGAACACAGCTCTCTCCCCCAATACATAAATATATATATGAAAGAGAAAAAGAGTAGTGGCAACAACATATTTTATTAGAAAACAGTAAAGTAGTTCAGTCATTTAACTTGGTTCTTAGAAGAAATACAGGTAAGTAGTTCAGTCATTTAACTTGGTTCTTAGAAGAAATACAGGGAAGTAGTTCAGTCATTTAACTTGGTTCTTAGAAGAAATACAGGTAAGTAGTTCAGTCATTTAACTTGGTTCTTAGAAGAAATACAGGGAAGTAGTTCAGTCATTTAACTTGGTTCTTATAAGAAATACAGGTAAGTAGTTCAGTCATTTAACTTGGTTCTTAGAAGAAATACAGGGAAGTAGTTCAGTCATTTAACTTGGTTCTTAGAAGAAATACAGGTGAGTAGTTCAGTCATTTAACTTGGTTCTTAGAAGAAATACAGGGAAGTAGTTCAGTCATTTAACTTGGTTCTTAGAAGAAATACAGGGAAGTAGTTCAGTCATTTAACTTGGTTCTTAGAAGAAATACAGGTAAGTAGTTCAGTCATTTAACTTGGTTCTTAGAAGAAATACAGGTAAGTAGTTCAGTCATTTAACTTGGTTCTTAGAAGAAATACAGGGAAGTAGTTCAGTCATTTAACTTAGTTGATGTTGAATGTTGAATTGTTGTTCGTTCATCATGAGAGATCCAAAGTAGTAATGATCAATAATTTTGAGTATGAAGGTGGCTGATTAGTCCAATATGAGCCTGGAAAGTTCTTGAGCAGTGCAGACAAAAGATGGAAGCCGCAGCAGGTGTGGGATTAGCAGTAGGATTCTTTCTAGTCTGCCTCTGTTTCTCTGTCTGTGCAACCTCTGCTGCCTGGCAGGCCAATGCACCATGCCTGAGGGATGTACAACATCCAGAACGAGTGACTTGCGCAGGGAATTGGATTGAAGTGAAGAAGAGTAATGTTGAATTAAGAATCGACATCACAGCACTCGGGACACCCCCATTAGCGCTCCGTCCCCATCTTTAGCAGCAAGCAAAGAGTTAAAATTCCGATGGTACCAGTCACTATCTGATTGTTGCCAATAGTTGCCAATAGACAGCAAAACATAATGAACAATACTGTACAGACTAAGTAGTAGTCAACTCCCACATTTATCCATCACTGTGTACAAGACAGACAGTACACAGTGCTTACCATTTTCACATCTATATCACTCTTGTCCTGTAGAATATTCAGATGTGACTCCAAATCCAGAATTGTGTGCTGAAGCTCTTTGTTTTCTGTCCTCAGTGATGACTCACTCTGCTTCAACAAAGCCACCTGGTGTTTCAGTTCAGCCGTCGTCTGGTCTAAAATGGATCTATACAGATGCAAGGTAACCCAAGATTAGGATGAACACTGAACATTTTCAGCAGTGGATGGTCAAGTGGTAAGTGTGTCTGCTTCACTTATCATGCGGGATATGTTTGATCTTTGGTAAGACATAAATTTTGTTTTATATAAAAATGTGGCTTTACATAACGATAAAACAAGAACAAAGAAGAAGAAGAAGAAGAAGCAGATGAAGCAGCGTAAGGAGGAAGACTAAGAAAAATAAATAAAACATAGAGGACAAGATACAAAAGGTCAAGCAGAGGAGGACGAAGAAGAAGATTTTTTCCCTGAACAAGTTCTCTTTTACCTCTGTAACTTCTCTCCCTCTAACTGATGGCGTACTGCCAACACTGTGTCCTTCATGTCCTGCAGCTGGACATCACCTAGATCAGCCTGGGCCAGCTGTTTTTCCACATTCAGCATCTTGTCAGTGACTTCCTCAAGCTGCTTCTGTAGATCCCTAGCCTGGGACAAAATAAACACAAGTTAAAACATAGCACGCCGAAAGTGTGCAATTGACACATGACTGAGGCCCTGTTTTTGGTCGCCATCTTTTGTGCCCGTTATTCGGAGGATAGCTTTCTTCTGCACTGACAGGTTTTTGACGGCATGATGTATCTGGGCAGTAGCCACAACTACGCCTATATAATGGCTTCAGTACTTGTTGCAACTGCAAAGTGTGTAGTCTGTTGGCCATAATTATATCCACTTAAAAAAAAATGAGATACTATTTTGGGCAAAAATAATTTTTGTCATTGTGATGTCACTGTGGCGTCATAAGGACCTCATAACAAGACCATTCTACTTCAAGTGGTGTGTCAACAACATTAAAATGTTTTTGAGGTCAAAGGGAGGCAGGAAGTTAATTGTCTTTACTGTTTGCATTTAGTAATTACTTCCTGTAATATCAAATGCATTAATTTGTGTGAAAAAGATATTTAAAACATTTAAATTTTAAACTGACTTGATTTTTATAACAACCAACAAAGATTCAGAATTTCTTCTACTACTTCTTCTTCTCTTTCCTTAGTTTCTTAAGTTAAGAGTTGCAGATAATTATAACAATGCATTTCATTTTAACAACATTTTGACTCGTTTTTTAAGTATAACAAGTCGTCCCTATGTGGGATGCAATTTTTCGTTATTTGAAGCCCCATCCTGGCTTTTGCCGGGGGCCTTAAATTTAGCCGGGTTATAAATATGGCCTAACGGCTGAACAGGGTTCCTGGGACCTCTCCCCAGGGTGATCCTCATCCACTTTGTGGCACTTTAGGTCACCGGGTATTTATTGCTTGTGTGATGTCCTGGTGGGATACAACAAGAGAGAGAGATATTTAAGATTCTTACAGGGCGAAAGATTTAAAAAGACGTACATTCTTACTGATTGACAATAGCTAGTATTACCCAAGGAATAATTAGTTCCTCCCCACAATGCTTAATGGCAATACTGGAAGTTGATGATAATGAAATGGTTAGGAATGAATCAATGTAAATAATCAACAACACAACACTTAGCAATAAATAAAAGTGAAGCTGCAAGAGCATAAAAAAACCCATTAAAAACTTACAAGGAAACAAAAAAAATTAATATATTAATATACACCCCCAAACACATTCAAAATGGTAACATTTTCTACAGAATAGTTATTCAAAAAAGAAAAATATTACACCAAAAAAAAAGATCAGTAAACATCTACAGAGAAAGAAGCAATATGACTGTTTATTCTGGGGACACTACTCTGTCTGCCTGATCTGGTCATAAACAGTCTTCCACAGAAGTCACACCATTTTGAAACTTCCTTCTCCACTCACTCATACACTTGCCTGAGTCTGAAGAATCTGGTGAGGATCCTGCAATACTTTGGGTAGAATTTTAACTCCAAATTTTGCCCGGGCAGTGCCGTTAGAGTATTCTTTTTGATTTCCAGTTGCCAAGGGATTCTTTATGTGCGCAACAATACACACGGTTGTCCAGTCTTACTACCCAGAGACTAAAGGGAAATTACTAGAAATCCAGGTGAGAAAAATCCCAGCCTTCACCCGGGCTTGAACCCAGGACCTCTAGCACTCAAGGCAGACACCATACCTCGTGACCACACAGCTTCCTACATATGCAAATATAGTGACAAAGAACTATTTAAAATAATAAATAAAAAAAAAAAATTTGTTTGCAGTATACACGGCACTATCATCCACAAAGCGTGCAATATGTAAGCTTAAAACCAAAAAACTTCTTAAGAAATAGTGTTCAAACTGAACGCTAAGTTTTAGGCAGATACACAAACAAAAAAGAAACAAAAAAATGAATGAAATAAAAGCTTATAATAAAAGGATTTGTGATCTGAGGCTCAATTTGAGTTTGAAAAAAAACTATGCTAAATAAAATTTAAAAAGTCAAACAACTAAAACTGTACACATAAAACGACTTACACGTCCATTTCTTTCATAATCCTTGAATGCGAAAGAGACAAATGCGACAATAACATGACACATATTTATGTTTGGAAATCAGTGTGCTGTTTATTTTTCCCCCATTCCATTAAACAATAAATCAATTAACTCTTTCAGTCTCAAAACAATGTACAGTGTGTGAGGGGTTCATCCTTGTGAGTCATAGCCAATGGATGATGTTTTTTTTTGTTTTTTTTTTTACATTTTACATCTGGTCAAATCATACTCTGAAAATTTGGCGACTTAAGTGGCCACTCTGCTGTGTTTAGTCTAAGACTCATAATTTTCATCTAACTTGGGCCAAATGGCCTGGTATCGAAAGAGTTAATGCTTTCAGTACCAAGCAACTTATCATAGATTTACAGCAGGTGCCTGGCATGATATGATTTTGTGGTTGCTATCCAGTTGTAGCTTTAACTCATTCTATCCCATTTATTCAGGTTGTTTTTGAGGTTACTGTATGATCTTTGAGTAGCAGAGTTCACTTTTCATGGTGGTTGGTTAATTGTTTTGAAAACTGCTTTTGTGATTTTTCACACAATGGCATGAGAGTCACATCTTGGAAGAGAATAGGGCCTCACCAAGTAATATTTCCCAAAGAAAGCAGCGGGTAGGCTATAGCCAACTTTCACTGTGCAGGTGGCAAACAATGTAATTTTGTTGGTCCCATACTCTTGTTATTCAAACCTCTTCATACACAAACACACACATTGCTTAAATCCTTTCACAGGAGAGACCATGGAGGGAAAAGGGGGGAGGGGGAGAAAAGCCCACAACTTATGATTTCCCCCAAAAAAATAATCCTTTAAAAATAACAAAATACACAGGTCACGCTCGGTTCTCTAGCGGAGTTGGCTAAACCTGACTGCGTGGTGAACGGGTGATGAACTCCTTGTGGTCCAGGTTCACTCCCTAAGGTAGGCAGAAAATCCACATTTTCTCCCAGATTTACGGTACCTATCATGGAATCAAGGCCGAAGGGTTGTGATATTCATAGTACCGAGCCAAAGGGTTAACAACTCATGGTTTCTGGATATAAAAAAAAAAAATACACAGGTCACTAATAAATTTTTAAACATGTATGTCTATACATTAAAAACACTACTTAGAGAAATATATGAAGGGTAGTAATCAATTAAAATGAACACAGTAGAAAACTAATTACATTCACTCGGACCTAAGCAAATTTATGCCATCACTCATATTATGACTCCATTGCTATACAGCTGCCAAATGCAGCATAATGCCTGAAAAGCAATTCTGTTCAAAACAACCTCAAAAGATTTTAATTGTAAATACAGTCATATTTGAACTTCCTTAATAAAGCACAGGTGCAAACAGAACTAATACTATTAATTATTTATTAATTAGCCTGGGACCATCCAAAGGTGTAAAGCTTATATATATATATATAGGTTTCCCAGAGATGTGTAACAGAGAGCACTGCATAAATATCAATGACTCAGGGGAAATGTTTAAGCAGCTGCACTTAGGAAATGAGGAGTTAAAAGAAAAAAGTACATACTGAAAGAGTTAATCAATCAACCAAGCAATAGAACAAGCAATCAGTTTAAGCCACACTGATACAATCTTTTCAACAGTTAGTTATAAGACTGCACAATGAGGAACATAATAATTCAGTACAAAACAATCATCTACCTTCTTTTCTGATAGCTCTGCTCTAGTCACAATAGCTTTTGTTGTGGATTCATTAACTGCCTCTTTCTGAGCCAAATTTGTCTCCACATGCATAAGAGCTGACTTTTCCTAAATAATTGAAACACAATGAAAAGATGCATGAGTACTCCTCTTCTTCTTCGTTCACCGGCTGTAAGCTCTGGCAGAAAGTCCTAGTTGTTCACCCATTTGGATTCTGGGTTTGTGCCAGGCCTAAGGTTTGAGTGTATGTCCATTTTACTGGTTGATTTATGTACAGTTGGTTGTTCCTTGCCGCTCAGGCAGATACACTCCAACTTTGAAAGATGCCACCAATTAGTCGATTGCTCGTTGGGAAAACAGAGGATCTATTCTTGTTTTCCCCACAATGGGGCCCTGGAACCCACATGGGGAGAAACAAAGCAGCCCCGGAACCCACATGAGAAGCCACCAAGGGGGCCCTAGAACCCACATGGGGAGCCACAATGGGGCCCCAGAACCCACATGGGAAGCCACAATGGGGTCCCAGAACCCACATGGGGAGCCACAATGGGGCCACAGAACCCACTCAGGGAGCCACAATGGGGCCCCAGAACCCACACGGGGAGCCACAGTAGGACCCCAGAACCCATACTGGGGCCACAATGGGGTCCCAGAGCCCACATGGGGAGCCACAATGGGGCCCCAGAACCCACATGAGGAGCCACAATGGGGCTCTGGAACCCACTTGGGGAGCCACAGTAGGACCCCAGAACCCATACTGGGGCCACAATGGGGCCCCAGAACCCACATGAGGAGCCACAATGGGGCTCTGGAACCCACTTGGGGAGCCACAATAGGGCCCCAGAACCCACAGGGGGAGCCACAATGGGGCTCTGGAACCCACATGGTGAGCATGAGTACAATTTAGTAGGAACCATTCTCTCCGGATCATTATGATCTCTTCACGCCCTTGCATTGTTCATCCCGCTCCCAGAGAGCCTTGACCATATCCAGTCTGCCTTTCATCCATCACCTCACCTAGTGGTGCAAAACCAAACCAGCTAATCTATCTGCCTGTTCACCTCCCAATACACCTGCATTCCCTGGAGAGTAGATCCAAAGAACGCAAACTTCCCTATACCTCCGAAGCAATGCTTGCCACTCTACAAGCAGCATACCTGTCTCCACCTTTCTCAGCACACTTTGTGAGTTTGTTACAATCAAGACATGTGCGTGCAGTTGGTTCTCATTTGAATGAATATCTATACTATAAATCAGAAAATCGATGTGTCTGTCTGTCATAAGAACTTTTCTCAAACAGTGATCAGTAGCGACATTACATTTGCAAATACAATTCTGACTGCCATTTGTAGGTTAAAGTGGTTATTTTCAACAAGTTTTCAACATCCAGCTAAAAAGTTCTTCTTCTTCTTTCGTTCGCATGAAATCAATTATCTATATCTGCAAAGCTGTCTCTAGTATGAATTTTACTGTCTTTTGTAATTCACTAAGCGGCCCATAAAGTTTGACTTCCACAAGTGTCTCTTTTGGCCAGAAGTTTTGCTTGGAAGGATTGAATCTGGGACAGTCTTGGAGGATGTGATCTGTTGTCTCAGGTGCCAGTTCACAGGTACACATGGCTGATTAGCCAATCTTAAATTTGTTGTACATGTGGCAGCAAAGTCGACTGTGCCCTGTTCTAAGGCGAAGGATAATGACTTGCTCTGGTCTGTCCATAATGTGGTAATCGTCTTGTGCCAGTTTTGGTGGCATTCTGATTGATTTGATTATTCTCTTCTTCTGTTGATAAGAGACTGGTAGGTCGGGTTGTTCTTCAGTTGCACCTTCCTTAACTAGTTTATCAGCTCTTTCGTTTGCGTGAACTCCACAGTGGGAAGGTATCCACTGCATTACTAATTTACAACGGTTGCCTAATAGGATAATAGTGTCCGTATGCTTGGTCTGCTGAAAAGTAACCTCGCTGGAGTTAATGTCCTTGAGTATCTATATATTTGTAAAGTGGCCTGAACATGTAACCAATAATGTGCAGGGGCATTAGGTCACAGACTTAAATTTGACTGTCAAGTGCTTCTGGCATGGACAGCTGTATGTGAACAAAGGGCAGAGAACCCTCAACACTCTTCGCCATCACTGAAGATCACCAAGAGGCTAAAAACATTGTATGTGGAAGGTACCAACACAAATTTTATAATGAATAAAGACTAAGTTTTTAAAAAAAAAATCTATATTTATATATACTTTGCTGTTTGTTCTCTCTCTTCAAATCCGAAGTTTGGCAAATGTAATTTTTGTTTTGGCATTTAAGAGCCACAATAACATAGTGGCTAGACCAGTGTTTCACAATGTGAGCTTTACAGCTCCCTGTCCCAGGCAGTAAGAAAGGGGGGGGGGGGGGGGGGGGGCGGTAGCTTAAGGGTAGGGATGAGGGGTGGAATTGCTCAGTGGTGCAGAAGCGGCTCAGGTGCTGTTAAGGGCAATTAATACATAAGGTAGCGGTGGAGACACAAGAAGAATTCGGTGGGAACATTATATTTTAATTAATTAATCCTGGCAAATCTGTGAATGAAATCTAGGTTAGTATATAAAAACCTGAGAGGCAATCAATTAACAGTCTGCATACAAATAAGCCAGATCTCTCAAATCTGCATACAGATAAGTCAGATCTGTAAAATGAATGTCCAAGCAACACTCAGATTCTGGAACAAGACTAAAGTTCAGATGAACAACCAGAACTTTCTGCTAGATTTTACAGCCACTGAATGTAAAGAAGAGGAAAACAAAAAACTTGCTGTCATAAATCTGTATTCTACTTTCAACTTTCAATCGGGAAAACCAGGTCAAGGCAAATTATTACCAATCTGAGTTCCTGTTCCAGAGACAGATTAGCCGCTTCTAGTTTTGAGTTCTTGTCCATCAGACTTCTGACCTGGTTCAACATCTGTAAGAAACATTAATTTCACTTAGCACATGTACACATGTATAGAGCACATGATGAGTTCAAGTGAGTTGAGTTGATTTAGGAACTGACATTACAGCATACAGGACATTCCCATAACTATTTTAGGTCTATCTTCAGTAGCCAGCACAGAGTTCTAGTTTTGATGATACCTAGAGCAGTCTCATTTTGATGGTTGCCTGTAGCTATAATTTTGATGGTACTCTAGCAGTCTCATTTTGATTGTACCTGTAGTGGTCTAATTTTGATTGTACCTGTAGCAGTCTAATTTTGATTGTACCTGTAGCAGTCTAATTTTGATGGTACCTGTAGCGGTATAATTTTGATGGTACTGTAGCAGTCTAATTTTGATAGTACTCTAGCAGTCTAATTTTGATGGTACTCTAGCAGTCTAATTTTGATGGTACTCTAGCAGTCTAATTTTGATGGTACTCTAGCAGTTTAATTTTGATGGTACTCTAGCAGGCTAATTTTGATGATACTCTAGCAGTCTAATTTTGATGGTACTCTAGCAGTCTAATTTTGATGGTACTCTAGCAGTTTAATTTTGATGATACTCTAGCAGTCTAATTTTGATGGTACTCTAGCAGTCTAATTTTGATAGTACCCATAGTAGTCTAATTTTGATGGTACCCACAGCAGCCTAATTTTGATGGTACTTTAGCAGTCTAATTTTGATAGTACCCATAGTAGTATAATTTTGATGGTACTCTAGAAGTCTAATTGTGATAGTACCCATAGTAGTCTAATTTTGATGGTACCCACAGCAGCCTAATTTGTAATGGTTCCTGTAGCAGTCTTTATGTAAACCAGCCTTGCCTCTCCTCCGAGTGTTGAGTATTGGCTAGATAACCTGGTCATTCCCCACTTTACCATTCTCTGCAGGCCACTGTGATCTGTTTGTGCTTCTGCACTGTTAACTTGCACCCAAAGGGCCTTGACCATATCTAACTTGTCATGCGTCAGTCCATCACCCAATGGTGAAGACACAGCCAGTCTGTTTGCATGTTCATTTCCACATACACCTGCATCCGTGGAGAAAAGATACAAAGAATATACAGGGATTCAATTCTTCCTGTGTCAATCTTCATGTTGGTCAGCTCCTCCCCCTCTTTCCTGGTACCACCACGGCACTTGATATGTCCAAAATATTCTAGCTACCAAGGCAAGATGCTGTTTATTAGCTAACCGAGGCAAGATGCTGTTTATTAGCCAACCGAGGCAAGATGCTGTTTATTACTCAACCAAGGCAAGATGCTCTTTATTAGCCAACCGAGGCAAGATGCTGTTTATTAGCCAACTGAGGCAAGATGCTGTTTATTACTCAACCAAGGCAAGATGCTCTTTATTAGCCAACCGAGGCAAGATGCTATTTATTAGCCAACTGAGGCAAGATGCTGTTTATTAGCCAACCAAGGCAAGATGCTGTTTATTAGCCAACTGAGGCAAGATGCTGTTTATTAGCCAACCAAGGCAAGATGCTGTTTATTAGCCAACCGAGGCAAGATGCTATTAGCCAACTGAGGCAAGATGCTGTTTATTAGCCAACCAAGGCAAGATGCTGTTTATTAGCCAACTGAGGCAAGATGCTGTTTATTAGCCAACTGAGGCAAGATGCTATTAGCCAACTGAGGTTTCCTTTTCCTTTCTAATTTTGGCAAGATGCTATTAGCCAACTGAGGCAAGATGCTGTTAATTAGCCAACTGAGGCAAGATGTTGTTGATTAGCCAACTGAGGCAAGATGCTGTTAATTAGCCAACTGAGGCAAGATGTTGTTGATTAGCCAACTGAGGCAAGATGTTGTTGATTAGCCAACTGAGGCAAGATGCTCTTTTTTAGCCAACTGAGGCAAGATGCTGTTAATTAGCCAACTGAGGCAAGATGCTGTTAATTAGCCAACTGAGGCAAGATGCTGTGTATTAGCCAACTGAGGCAAGATGCTCTTTTTTAGCCAACTGAGGCAAGATGCTGTTAATTAGCCAACTGAGGCAAGATGCTGTTAATTAGCCAACTGAGGCAAGATGCTGTTAATTAGACAACTGAGGCAAGATGCTGTGTATTAGCCAACTGAGGCAAGATGCTATTAGCCAACTGAGGCAAGACGCTGTTTATTAGCCAACCAAGGCAAGATGCTGTTTATTAGCCAACTGAGGCAAGATGCTGTGTATTAGCCAACTGAGGCAAGATGCTATTAGCCAACTGAGGCAAGACGCTGTTTATTAGCCAACCAAGGCAAGATGCTGTTTATTAGCCAAATGAGGCAAGATGCTGTTTATTAGCCAACTGAGGCAAGATGCTGTTTATTAGCCAACTGAGGCAAGATGCTATTAGCCAACTGAGGCAAGATGCTATTAGCCAACTGAGGCAAGATGTTGTTGATTAGCCAACTGAGGCAAGATGCTGTTTATTAGCCAACCAAGGCAAGATGCTGTTTATTAGCCAACCAAGGCAAGATGCTGTTTATTAGCCAACCGAGGCAAGATGCTGTTTATTAGCCAACTGAGGCAAGATGCTATTAGCCAAGAGGCAGTGCTATTAGCCAACCGAGGCAAGATGCTGTTTTTTAGCCAACCAAGGCAAGATGCTGTTTATTAGCCAACCGAGGCAAGATGCTGTTTATTAGCCAACCGAGGCAAGATGCTGTTTATTACTCCAACCAAGAGTCAAGATGCTGTTTATTAGCCAACTGAGGCAAGATGCTGTTTATTAGCCTTTATTACTGAGGCAAGATGCTGTTTATTCCAACCGAGGCCAGATGCTGGTTTATTAGCCAACCGAGGCAGATGCTGCGTTTATTAGCCCACCGAGTGCAAGATGCTGTTATTAGCCAACTGAGGCAAGATGCTGTTTATTAGCCAACCAAGGCAAGATGCTGCAACTGAGGCTGTTTATTAGCCAACCAAGGCAAGATGCTGTTTATTAGCCAACCAAGGCAAGATGCTGTTTATTAGCCAACCGAGGCAAGATGCTGTTTATTACTCAACCAAGGCAAGATGCTGTTTATTAGCCAACCGAGGCAAGATGCTGTTTATTAGCCAACCAAGGCAAGATGCTGTTTATTAGCCAACTGAGGCAAGATGCTGTTTATTAGCCAACCGAGGCAAGATGCTGTTTATTAGCCAACTGAGGCAAGATGCTGTTTATTAGCCAACTGAGGCAAGATGCTGTTTATTAGCCAACCGAGGCAAGATGCTGTTTATTAGCCAACCAAGGCAAGATGCAGTTTATTAGCCAACTGAGGCAGATGCTGTGTATTAGCCAACCGAGGCAAGATGCTGTTTATTAGCCAACTGAGGCAAGATGCTGTTTATTAGCCAACTGAGGCAAGATGCTGTGTATTAGCCAACTGAGGAAAGATGCTGTTTATTAGCCAACTGAGGCAAGATGCTGTTTATTAGCCAACTGAGACAAGATGCTGTTTATTAGCCAACTGAGGCAATATGCTATTAGCCAACTGAGGCAAGATGCTGTTTATTAGCCAACCGAGGCAAGATGCTGTTTATTAGCCAACCGAGGCAAGATGCTGTTTATTAGCCAACCAAGGCAAGATGCTGTTTATTAGCCAACCAAGGCAAGATGCTGTTTATTAGCCAACCAAGGCAAGATGCTGTTTATTAGCCAACCAAGGCAAGATGCTGTTTATTAGCCAACTGAGGCAAGATGCTATTAGCCAACTGAGGCAAGATGCTATTAGCCAACTGAGGCAAGATGTTGTTGATTAGCCAACTGAGGCAAGATGCTGTTTATTAGCCAACCAAGGCAAGATGCTGTTTATTAACCAACCGAGGCAAGATGCTATTAGCCAACTGAGGCAAGATGCTGTTTATTAGCCAACCAAGGCAATATCCTGTTTATTAGCAAACCAAGGCAAGATGCTGTTTATTAGCCAAATGAGGCAAGATGCTGTTTATTAGCCAACTGAGGCAAGATGCTATTAGCCAACTGAGGCAAGATGCTATTAGCCAACTGAGGCAAGATGCTGTTAATTAGCCAACTGAGGCAAGATGTTGTTGATTAGCCAACTGAGGCAAGATGCTCTTTATTAGCCAACCGAGGCAAGATGCTGTTTATTAGCCAACTGAGGCAAGATGCTGTTAATTAGCCAACTGAGGCAAGATGCTGTTTATTAGCCAACTGAGGCAAGATGCTGTTAATTAGCCAACTGAGGCAAGATGTTGTTAATTAGCCAACTGAGGCAAGATGCTGTTAATTAGCCAACTGAGGCAAGATGCTGTTTATTAGCCAACTGAGGCAAGATGCTGTTTATTAGCCAACTGAGGCAAGATGCTGTTTATTAGCCAACTGAGGCAAGATGCTGTTTATTAGCCAACTGAGGCAAGATGCTGTTAATTAGCCAACTGAGGCAAGATGCTGTTTATTAGCCAACTGAGGCAAGATGCTGTTAATTAGCCAACTGAGGCAAGATGTTGTTAATTAGCCAACTGAGGCAAGATGCTGTTAATTAGCCAACCGAGGCAAGATGCTGTTAATTAGCCAACTGAGGCAAGATGCTGTTAATTAGCCAAGCGAGGCAAGATTCTGTTTATTAGCCAACTGAGGCAAGATGCTGTTAATTAGCAAACTGAGGCAAGATGTTGTTGATTAGCCAACTGAGGCAGGATGCTCTTTATTAGCCAACTGAGGCAAGATGCTGTTTATTAGCCAACTGAGGCAAGATGCTGTTTATTAGCCAACTGAGGCAAGATGTTGTTGATTAGCCAACTGAGGCAAGATGCTGTTTATTAGCCAACTGAGGCAAGATGTTGTTAATTAGCCAACCAAGGCAAGATGCTGTTTATTAGCCAACTGAGGCAAGATGCTGTTAATTAGCCAACTGAGGCAAGATGTTGTTGATTAGCCAACTGAGGCAAGATGCTGTTTATTAGCCAACTGAGGCAAGATGCTATTAGCCAACTGAGGCAAGATGCTATTAGCCAACTGAGGCAAGATGCTATTAGCCAACTGAGGCAAGATGTTGTTG